CTCCCGGGCGCGCGCGGACCCGCGCAGCAACGGCCTGAGCGCCCCTCCCCCAACGGCCGCCGCGCGCCGCCGTGCCCGCCTCAGTGCGCCTGCGCGGTCCGGAATTCTCGGGAAGGTCTCGCGCTTTCGGGGACCAGCCCTGTCCCCGCGCCGACAGCTCAACCCTGAGCCCGCGCTCCCAGCCCTGCGCGCTCCCGGACGTGCTGAACGGCACCCCTAGCGGTCCCTCGCCGTCGGCGCCGTGCAGGCTCGGGGAGTGTGGCCAGGGGCTGAGTGCCCCTGCTCGTGTTTTTATGAAATCCGCGCAAGTCAACTTTTAATTTTTAAAGAGTGTCCCGGTGCTGTGAAAGCTTCGGGTCCCCCAGCACGAGGGCCGGCCAGCGCAGTGTCAGGGGTCCAGTGCCAGCGACCAGGGCCCCGGGGCCAGGTTTAGGGCTTTGTGGCCCTGTTTAGGGGCTCGAGGCAGACGTGAGGGGTCAGGTGCCGCATTAATACGTCTAGGGCAGTGATTAGAGAGGCTCAGGGCTACGTTTAGGAGTTGAGGGCCCGGGGTAGCGATTGGGGGGGTCCAGGGCCGGGTTTAGGGGTACGGGTCCGCATCTGTTCGCCCTAGGCAGCGATTATGGGTTCCGAGCCCTGGAATTCGGGCAACAGGCCCCTGCGAGAGCCTCGGTATGCGGAGGCCCGGGACGTTTGGCCTGGTTAGCGGGTGCAGCGGTGCCCGTCCATGATGGGCTGTGAGAGGTGACCAGGGCATGCGCTTGGGGAGGCAAGGCCGATCCTTGGTTTCTGCCTTTATGAGATGGGAGCCCCCCCCCCCAACGCAAGTGGAAGTCACGTTTGGACAAGGGGAGCCGCCGGGGCGTCGTGGGGCTCCAGGCAGCTGGTTCTGAGGCCGAGGTGGGACAGGGAGCGAGGAGCGCCAGCTGGTACTTCTGAAGGTCCGCCCCCCCGCCCCAAACACTGGCCACTGCCCAAATTGCGGGGCTGGTGCCGTCCTTACGCCTACACAGGAGGAAATGCTGAAATGGACACTTACACAATCGCAAATTCTCCAAACCCGTGCGCAGTCTGTTCAGTCTCTTGGGGATTTCTATCTACCTTCGGTTTGCCATAAAACTACATCCTTCACGTTTTGAGGGTCCCTTAGTCTGGAGTTCGGAGATTTGGTGAACAAATGCGCGTTCACCTAGCTACACCCGTCATGATTTTGTAAAGCCCATCTTTTTTACTTATTTTACGTAATATGAGATCTCTATATGAAGTATCTAATTCATGGGTTGGGTGATTAACTTGCCCCCAAACCACCTTCTAAATGGGAATTCTAAGTGTTTTGAACAATGCCAGACCAAGCTGTAAAAGTCTCGGAGGGACAGGGGTCCTTACTCATGGCCCAGCTCAAGAACCAGGGTGTTTCCCGTTTGGAGAAACTAAGGCCCAGCGCGCAGAGCACCCCTGCCCCGCCCACGGCCTTTCCCTCGGAAACCCTCCGCCCTCCTCTGGCTCTTTTGTCTCTAGCTCCTCCCACCATTGGTCCTCCTCCTCTTCCCCCCCCCCCCCCCCCGCTACACACCGAGCCTTCGGGAACAATCTGGAAGCTCCTTACGATGTAAACAAACTTGACTGAACGCTGCCTCCACTTCCTTGTCCCTGCGGAAACCCAGCTTTTCCAGGAACGGGGTTTTCAAACTGGGGCCTGAGACCCACTGGGAGTGTGTGAAATAACGTAGGGCGTCCTGACTACCGTTAAAATGGGAAAAATTGAATGGGAACTAGAAGCCACATGGTAAGGGTAGGTGAAGGTTGTTATGCATTTGTTGGGGCACGTAAAATGTGTTTCTGACCCCAGCTGTGTCCGGACGCCTCGGCGCGGGGATTGGGAGGGGTTGGGGGGGTTGGGGGGCGGGCGGAGGAGGGGGAGGGGCAGTAGTGCTGTGGGTTCCTTGTGGCCACCATCAGCTGTTCAAGGTCTCCACCGCTGCGGGCGCCTCCTCCACCCGTAGCCCACCAGCCACCCTCCTCTTTTCTAGACTTGAAGGCCTGACCCACTTTTTCCTTTCTATCCCACTTACGCCATTGCCCAGGAGGTTTAAGATTTCTTGAAGATAAGCCATTCAAAGCCCCAGCTGTGAAATTCTCGGTTTCTAAGGCCTTCACCTCCCCCCTCCTCCAGAGAACTTGCCCCAAGGCTACTCCTGGAACCTTTGTTTTCCAGGACGCTCCGACTTCAATATCCCTCCCTTATTCCAAATCTTGTCCTCCCGCTCTCCCCCGCCCTGCCCGCGTCAGTTACTAAGTACAAGGACGTTTTTGGTCCCCCGTGACCTCTGGGTAACATTCCACACTAACCGCCACTGCCCTCCTTGAGACCTCTGCCTTGGTTCCACCTCTGCCTTGGTTCCACCATCAGCATGCTGTGGTTTCCCTCCGGGCACTGGCTGCTCCTCTCTCTCCTCCAGACTCGCCCCCTCTCCCTGGCCTGTTGCTGGAGCTCCTGGGAGAGTACCTATGTGCGGATGATGCACAGAAAAGCCCCAGCCAGGACTCTTCTAGCTCCAGACCTGGTTGCTGAGCTCACTTCCCCCACCTCTCTGGCCTTCTAGGGCTCACTAGCCAGGTGACTATCCCACGACCTTCTAGAACCCCAAACACCCCGTAGGGAATCTGACGTGAGCCCTGCCACTTCTGCCTCCTAAATACTTTATGAATCCATCCACTTCTCTCCATCCTCATCCCCCTCCCCCCGGCCCTTCACCCCTGCCCACACAACCATCAGCTCACCTGGAAGACCTCCATAGCCAGCTGACTGCTTCCTGAGTCTGCTCTGGTCTGCCTCCCCCCTGTTGCCAAGGGGAGCTGTGAGAACACAGATCTGACCCTGTCAGTCCCCTCCTCCACACACTCCTCAAACACTTGCTAACACCCCATCACTCCTAGGAGAAAAAGAGCTTCTTAACCAGGCCTGCCAGGCCCTGCAGGGTGCCCCTACCTACCCGTTCATCCTCGGTTCCCACCGTGCTCCCTGTCACTCTTCTTTGTACACCTCACACCGTGATCTACTGCCACAGGGCTGTGCAAATGCTGTTCCTTCCGCCTGGAACAGCATTCTCTCTCTTTTTCTCCTATTTAATGTCCTAGTGGACCCTCAGCTCACACATTTCCTCAGGGACCTCTTCCCACCTCCATTTCCCTTCCTACTTGGCCCGAGTGGATCCCTTGATATGAACAGGCTCTCAGGATGTGGGCATCTCTTCCTCTTGGCATGAACCACACCTGCTCATCCACGTCATCGAGCCTTCCAAACCCTGCTCTCCTACCCCCAACTCTCTTCCTTTCCTACCCTGCCTCCTCAACTCTGTATTTCTAATATATCTCTAAGTCCTACAGATTTAGCTCCTAAATATTTGTTGAACTTGTCCCAAAGTGATCTTGCTGTCAGGGGAATCTGACAGTTTTCCTCCTTCATTTGAAATCTTTCAGTGTCCTCCCAGTAAGCTGGGATACAAGGCCCAGACTCTGGATCCAGGGCCTGGATTCAAATCCCAGCTCTGCCACTGCCTACCTGTGTGACCAGGCAAGTCACTTCTTCTCTCTGTGCCTCTGCTTCAGCATCTGTAAAATGGGTATGAAAATGTCTTCCTCATACGGTTATGAGGCTTAACTGAGCTCATTCTGTTTTTGGAACTGTCCCAGGTAACTGCTGTATACATGTTTATTAAAGTAAACAGAAAACTTCCTCATTTGCCTTTTGATTTCTTCTTTGACCCATGGGTAATTTATAAGTGTGTTAGTTTCCAAATATTTGGAGGCCCTCCAGATATCTTTTTGTTATTGATTTCTAATATTTAATTGCATTGTGATTAGAAAACATACTTTGCATGATTTTAGTCTTTTCATTTTTATTTTGTTTTATGGTTCAGAATATGGTCTATCTTGGTACATGTTCTGTATGCAAAATAATTATGCTGAGGGAAAGATGCCAGTAATTTATATAAAATTTTAGAAAATGCAAACTAATTAATAGTGACAGAAGGCGATCAGGGGTTGCCTGTGGGAGGCAGGGCTGACAGGAGCAGGAGGAAGGGATTTCGAGGGGCACGAGGACACTGGGTGATGAGTGTGTTCGCTATCTCGAGTGCAGTGATGGTCTCACAGGTGTAAGTGTATGTTGAAACATAGCAAGTTGTACTTTAAACGTGTGCAGTTTATTGCATGTCAATTATACCTCGTAAAGCTGTTT